ATATGCCCAGGTAGAAGACTAGAAACAAAGAAAGAAACAATAAAGGAAGGAACGGTGATGGAGAAAGGAAAGAGGGAGAAAGAAAGAGAGAAAGGAAGGAAGAAAGAAACAAACTACATCCATGTTTCTCAAACTGTACAAAAAAAGCAGTTCAAATTGGAACAAAGACTTTAATGCAAGACCTGAGACTCTGAGCTGCTTGAGGGAAACAGGTAAAATACTTCAATGTAAATAAGCATAAGCAAGGACTTTCGGGAAAGGACTCAAGAGCTCAGAAAATTATACCAAGAATGAATAGGGTTACATGAAACAAAAAGTTTCTTATTCACTAATCTATCTCTGAAATCAGATAATAACATGATATTTTTTGAGATGGCAAGTATTTTCAAATTTTAAAAGGAAGCAAAGGTTTTCAGTGGTTGCTATAACCCAAAACCCATCCACAGATCTTGGTTATGAAGTACAAATGTAAAAATTGTTCATATGTAAGAAGTCTTTTTTAAATCATTTGAGGATGCTCTTGCTGGGGCAATAACAGAAAAAAAGTTAGGTATGCTAGGAATGAATTTGGTAATCATCTCCACGAATGCCTCATTCCACAGATAAAGAAAGTGAAATGATGAGAGAATAAAGTCTAGAACATTATTTCTACTGTAGTGTTTATTCCATTGGTTAACTGTCTCATTTTCTTCTTCCCAACACCTCACAACAACACAAGATCTTTCAAAAGTATTCTTATTCCCATCATGGTGCTCACAAATACTGACGTGTAATTCTTCCTTAGTCATTACCACAAGATGTGGCTACTCATTCTGCTTCACTTAGGACTTAAGAACCAAATATGAATAATTTAATTCTAACTGGTTGAGCAAAGACATAACCAAGATCACAGTTTTAATTAGTATGGGCAAAGTCTGATGAGACACAGCTTTCAAGCTTCCAGTATAAACTGACCTTCCTCTTTGCTGATAATTTAGGTACCACATCACTAATTATGTTGATCAGAGATCTGAATGCCTATCAAGAAACTCATTTATGAAAATGGCAGTTTGTGGCCTGGTAGTGGGGGCACATTCCTTTAATCCTAGCATTCTGGAGACAGAAACAGGCAGATCTCTGAGTTCAAGGCCAGCCTGGTCTACAGAGTGAGTTCCAGGACAGCCATTGATACACAGAGAACTGTGTCTCAAAAACAAACACCCCCCAAAAGAAATTAAACAGGAATAATACCTAGGACATCTCATGTTCCTCGTTTGACACCGGCTAACTCAACTATAAAACAGGGATAATACTCTTTGTCTTAAAAAGAAATAACTATGACAGGTTTTTTAAATAATAAAACATGATAAATTGCTAGGCAACAAGTCACAAAAATGCGGTCTTTTCCTGTACATTACAGTACATAAATAAAAATATCCCTGTACTTTGTTAAGTGTGCAGTTCCTCCTGGAACCTTATCTTCCAAGGTCCTCTTTTCCCATGCCCCTTCTCATATACACAAACACTCACAAATTGGGCATACTTTTTTTCCTCAAGTTAAAACTGTAGTGACAAATGGAATTGTCTGTAACTGTGCTTTCATAAATAATGAAAAATTATGGTTCCTAGCAACAGAGAAATCTCTTCTGCCATTTCTGATTCTCAAGGTCAGTGACAGGATACTCAAAAACAACAATCCATGCTGAAATAACAAGAAATATGAAAACATACAGGTACTCAGAAGGAAATAAGTGGAAAACCTCATCGGCAGGAGCTCCATAAGAAAAATGTCACTTAGCATTCCAACTAACATCTTATTAATTCCATCATGCTTTGTGGCTAAATGCACAAGCATAATGCAAGAAAACATATTATAATGAGTTTTAAATATATTTATTCCAGTGTAAATAATGTGAGCATATATAAACATCAGTTTCTTGATATTTCTGATCATGGAGTTTGTCTAGGACAATAGCAACAAGACTGCAGTGATTTTGTTTTGAAAGCTCACCTTCATTACTTAGGAGAAAAGTATCTAATTAGTCCGTTCCAATTTATAAAAATTGAAAGCCGAGCACCTGTCAGCAAGTACAAGAATGACAGTTCAACAAATACGGCAAAACTGTACAATGTCTGTCCAAAGGTATCAGTAGGCTTTCTGTGTCCTCCCCCCAACAATAGGTTTCTCCACTGATGCAGTAAGCCAGATAGAAACTGAAAAAGTATAGCAACATATTTATTTGAGCAAAGAAACTCCAAGGCAAGTTCTCTAGTCCCAGAGATCAAGGCCTGAGAGCCTCCCACCCTGGCTAATGCAGGGAGATTATATAGGCTGTAGGCGAGGGGTGATGATGTGTCCACCAAAAGCTCGGTTTATGGAAGCATGGTCAAAAGCTGAGCACTTTAGGTGAGTATTTGTGTGGCTGATACCTTCAGGGGAGGAGCTGCCACAGCCACCAAGAATGTGGAACTGGACTTTTTGGTGCATTCCCTTTGTTCAGAGACTCTCTGAGCACTGAGCAGGTAGGCTTTAGAGAGAGGGGGAGGGGGATGGTGCTTACCAGACCATGCAGGGGCAAGCGGGATGTTCCAACCGAACAGGTATTTATAATCCTTTAAAATGACTCACACATTGAATTCATACACCATTTTCATTTCCAGTGTTTAGAAAAGATGCTGAAACTATTCTAATTTGATCAGAACCTTGTCCTTTGAGGAGAATTTCTTTGGGGGACTTGAGTGACACTACCTGAACTAATAGAAACCCTGCTGACAGCATTCCCCTTATTGGTGATATTTCAAAACAAATCATGTAAGAGTTCAGAGAGAGGGAGGTTCTGGCTACAGGTGGTGTTGCTACTGAATTAGGAAGATCCACATACACAAGTTTGTTTTGTCTTTAGAAACTATTGTAGAGAAATGCTTCCTTAGAAAATGGAAATTAATTATTTTCAATATATAAAGAAAGCAAAAAGGGCCGGGCAGTGTGGTGCATACCTTTAATCCCAGCACTTGGGAGGCAGAGGCAGGTGTATCTCTGTGAGTTCAAGGCCAGCATGGTCTGCAGAGCTAGTTCCAGGACAGCCAGAGAAACCCTGTCTTAAAAAGAGAGAGAGAGAGAGAAAAGAAAAGAAAAAAGGACTCCTGTGTTTGGCAACGTGTGCATGGTTGTGAGTCACTTATGAGTAACTAAAGCTAAGTATTCTTTTTTATTATTTTTAAATTTAAATTTAAATTAGAAACAAGGTTGCTTCACATGTCAATTCCAGGTCCCTCTCCCTTTCCCTCCCCTCCTCCCACGCCCTCCCACCAACCCCTCCAATATCCCCTCATTTCCCCAGGGAGGGTGAGGCCCACCATGGTGGTGTCCATAGTCTGTCATTTCATCCTTAGCAGGGCCTAGACCCTTCTCCAAGTAGCAGGGTGAGAGTGCATCTCTCATTGTTGGATGGGAGCCCAAAGTCCATTTGTATACCCGGGATAAATACTGATCTACTGCCCAAGGCCCAATAGATTACCTAGGCCTCCTCACTGACACCCACAGTCAGGGAGTCTTGATCAGTCCCATGCTGGATTCCCAGGCATCAGTCTGGGATTCAAGAGTTAACCCTTGTCAGGTCAGCTGTTTCTGGGGGTTAAACCAGCCCAGTCTTAACCACTTTGCTCATCAGTCCTCCCTCTCTGTCACTGGATTCCTTGAGTTCAGTTCAGTGTTTGAAGCTAAGTATTCTTAAAACTTACTTTGTTCATGGAGCATGAATTCCCCTTTGGAAAACTTCATATGCCCTGACATCCTAGCCAAGGCCCATTTCTGTCTACACCACGGAAATTCTTCTGGCCCAGAACTCCCTATCTTCCTCCATACATATCATTGCCACATGTTTTTACAAACTATTGTCTGACCAACTCAAGGAAGGACAAACTGGGAAATTTTCTCCCCAGAATAAAAACAGCAGATGGCAGTTGAGCTAAGGAAAGTGGGTAGCCTCCAAATCAAGTTTCATCATACTTTTTCCATCCCTGAGTTCCTAACTGTACATAGAACATTCCAATAATCTTGTACTCTACTTTTTGGTGACTTTCCTCAGTATCCTGCCCACCACCATCCAGTCTCTCAAGTTTTCATACTCCTTTAACTGACTTTTGAAATTTTTCTCTTCCTGGCATCATTTGCTTCCCAATTCACCATCTGTATGCCTGCCTTGTTCTATTGAATTCTCAGTGTGTGTGATGATTCAAATGAGAATGACCCCCAGAGGCTCATAGTTAAACACTTGGTACTAGCTATTGAAACTGCTTGGAAAGGATTAGGAGGTGTGGCCATGTTAAAAGAGGTTGTCACTGAGGGTGGGCTTTAAGTTTCAAAAGTCCAACCATTCCCAGTTAGCTCTCTCTGCCTCATGGTAGTGTCTAAAGACATGAAGTCTCAACAACTGCTCCCGTGTCATGCCTGCCTGTCAGCCTGATGTCATGGTCCCTACAATGATGGCCATGACTTTAGTCCTCCTAAGCCATTATCTCCACATTGAATTCTTTCTAATATAAGTTAACTTGCCTATGGTGTTATAATCACAGCCATAAAAGTAGAAAGTAAGGCAGTGTGATATGCCCTATTCTTTTTTTAGCTGTTCTTTTAGAAAGGAGCATTTGTATTTATATAAAACACTAAAGAGATTCCAATAGTAGAAAATAAGAAAAGTGTGTCATCCTGGAATTTAAAGCAAGCAGCTGTAAAAGCAAATGAAGGAAACACTAATTCCTGAGCAACAGTGTCTTCAGAAGCAGTCAGACTTGAACAGTTTTGTTTTAATGCAACATATTTCACAACAATAAGGAAAAGCACACCAGAATAGCCTATTAACTGCCTGCTGCTACCTTGGAGGAAACAGACAAGTCACATTCGGTCTGCCAGCTCAGATGTTGGCACTCATTTATTTGCAATGCTAACCTCAAGGTTATATACCAAATCGGTATCTTTGTTCTTCAGCATCTGCTCACTCCACCAGAGTCACATTTCCTGCTCAATGCACAGGCCTGGTGATACAGGACAAGCATGTACAGCAGGCACAAAGACCCGACACAGTTGATACCACCATCAAAAAGCTTGATTGGCGCTTACATTTTAGGGCTTTCTTCACTGTCTCATTTGATTGTTCAACGTAATCCTGGGTGTGCAAAATGTTGTACTCAATGCTATCCAGCAACTCGTGCTGTCCTGAGACGAACATTTCTACTTGGAAAAAGACACTGTGCAATTCACTGATATGGTACTCAAGGTCCAGCAGCTGCCGTTGACATACTTCGGCCAGAGCTAGGCCTTGCTTAGCATTCAAAACATCTAGATCACAACCCACCATTTGAGGAGGCACAGGGTTAGCCACCAGTTTCTCCAGATCCTCTTCCTGGAGCTTCACCCCAGCCAGTTCTGCCTGTCTCACCATCTTCTCCTTCAGCCTGACCATATTCTGAGTCTCACAGGCATAGTGGTGGTTGATGATGTCACGGTAGTAACTAAGGAGAAAAGAGAGCTGGCTCTGACGAATGCGATGCTCAGCCCGCCAGTACTTACAGTCTGTGGCCAGCTTGTGCTTGGATGGTGCTTAGCTGAGGTTGAATGAGCTGGGCTTGGCTGGCAAAGGAAGCTTTTATGATTATGACGTGCAATTCATTCTTCTCCTTGAACACACTCTCCTCTGCGGTACAACACAGGACACCTTGCTGCTTCTTGTCTGTTAGCTGAGACAGCCCTTCTAACTCAGCCAGTGCCAGGGACAGCTCAGCTACTTCCTGTAAAAACTTTTCTATGGGGTTTGTTTCAGTCTTCTCAAAAGCATGGTTGTCAAACATCAAGGTGTCGTCCATCTCTGAAGGGACTCTTCCGTGGTTAATGTGGTTCTTCAGTTCCTCTAATCGGTCCTTCATCTTCAACTCCAGCTGCTTGCCATATCAGTACTGCAATGACTCTGGAGAGAGATGTATCCATCAGCTTTGTCTGTGGTGTATGAAGTCAGGGACAGCTCTGTTTTGCGCCAGTAGAAGCTATTAAAAGTCTTTCCTTCCCAGGCAAGCAAACAATGACAAAGCCAAAAGGCAACTGAACTGTTTATTCAGTATCAGGAGTGTCAGGCAGGATGGACTAAATTGTATTCCAGGAACGGGCCAGGCATTTGCTTGATTTGCCAAGAGCTGAGGTAAGAATATATATGAACTCTAGGGCTCCGGGCTAGGTGGTAAGAAAGTAAAAGTCTGGAATTTGAATAGCCCTTGGGAGCATTGTTGTTGGGTTCAAGAAAGGTAACCAAGTATGTACAAAATACAGGTAAGGAAAGGATTGAGAAATGCTCACAAATAACTGTAGATTCATTACTTAAGATTGAGAACTAGCCGGGCGTTGGTGACACATGCCTTTAATCCCAGCACTCGGGAGGCAGAGGCAGGTGGATCTCTGTGAGTTCGAGGCCAGCCTGGTCTACAAAGTGAGTTCCAGGACAGCCTCTAAAAAATACAGAGAAAACCTGTCTCAAAAAAACAAAAAAAAGATTGAGAACTAACATACTCATGCAAAGAAACACACAGATCAAATAGTCTACTCACTAGTGAAGGAAAGAAGAAAAACATAGCTTCCAGACTGAAGACTTGTCTCATTTAATAATAATCTTTTTCATCCTTTCTTAATGCGGGCCAGAGACTCCAGTTCATTATCTATAACTAAAACCTGCCTGTTATCATTCTATCAAGTGCCTACCAGCCCGTCACTCATTAAACTCCTTCCCATAATTGAATGAAGCAAATAATTACATTCTTTATAGGATTTTCAAATCTCATATATTAAAATTTAACTTTTACTCACTCCCCTTTCTTCTCATTATCAAATGTTTTTCTAGTATGACATAGGTGACCGAGAACCTGCAACTAGAGAGCCTGGGGAAATAGGGTAAAACCACTTACTACTCTTCTACTAAAAGAATGCAGCAATAAAATGACTCCTAATGACATTCTGCTACATGGATCAGTGACCTGTCCAACCATCATCAGAGAGGATTACTCCTGCAGCAGATGAGAATAAATACAGAGGCCAATATGCAGACTTTATGCAGAGAGTGAGAGACCTTGAAACACTCTACCCTGATAGGATGTCTCCATCAAATCCTTCCCTTAGGAGTCAGGGAACCCTCCAGAAGATGAGGCAGAAACAAGGTCATCTAAACATAACAGGACTGATACACATACAGATTCACAAAGATGGAGTCATCATGCACAAGGCCTACATAGGTCTGGACCACATAGGGTCCTAGAGCTAAAAGGAGACATGATCTGAAGCATTTAACTAACTATTCTTTATCAATAAAAAATCTAGAGTTAGATATTGGGGTAAGAACCTGAATGATCAGAGAAGCTGTGGAAAAGCCACCAGCCATCTCCTACCTCTTCTGTTCCTTCTTTCAAAAAGGCTGAGATCCTCTCTCAGTCCTGCCCTACTAATTCCTGTCTCCTATCTGTCTACAGTTTTCCAAACTTCTATGGTTAATTTTGGTCAGCTAATAGCTCTGCCCTCTGACTAAAAGCAAACTTTATTTTTAGAATGAAATCAAAATGTCACACAACAGTTATCCCATGCCCCCATGCCTAGTCTAGAAGTTATCTCTAATTGATAACCACTTACAAATGAAAAATTGGTTTTCTCCAATGGAGTCTCATGGGGAAACAAGCTACTCTTAAGGGTAGGTTCAATACCCAGCAGTAGATGGCCAACAGAAAATGAACTCTACAGCATCTTTGAACATTAGTTGTCTCATAATGTCATGTCAGGGCTTTTTTATCTTTTTAAATTTAATTTAACTTTTATTTATATATATTTTAAATTTTATCTTATTTTTATTTATATAAAGATATATAATATATAAAGATACATATATACATATACTTCTCCCTTTTTACCCTATAGGTCCTTTGTGTATAGATATAGATATATAGACTTGCAGTTTTGGGATTCCTGAGTGTGTGAACAAGTGGATCTCTGCATCAGTATCTGTTTCTTGTGCCTTTCTGGGGCTCTTCTGAGTTTTTGTTTGTTTGTTTTGTCCTATTCTGATGTGTTATAATTTATCTTACTGTATTTATTATCTCTTCAAAACTTGTTTGTTTTCTAATCAGTGGAACCATATAGGAGGGGCAGAGGAGAGGGCAGGAAGTGGAAGGAGTAGAGGGAGGAGAACTGTAATCAAGATAACTAGGTGAAAAAATCTATTTTCAACAAGAGAGAAAAAAATAAATAACAAAAAATGTTTTCTGGACTGCAGATATATCCATGTCTATTGCCATTCACAAAACTTAAGTCCAAATGGATCAAAGACCTCAACATAAATCGAGCCACACTGAATCTCTTAGAAGATAAAGTAAGTGGGAGGTACCCTTGAACGAATTGGTACAGGAGACCACTTCCTGAACATAACTCCAGTAGCACAGTCACTGAGATCAACAACTAACAAATGGGACCTCCTGAAACTGAGAAGCTTCTGTAAGCTTCTGTAAGCTTCTGTAAGCTTCTGTAAGCTTCTGTAAGCTTGCTGACACAGTCAGCAAGACAAAAAGACAGCCCACAGAATGGGAAAAGATATTCACTAACCCCACATCTGATAGAGGGCTGATCTCCAAAATTTACAAAGAACTCAAGAAGCAAGTCTCCAAAACACCAAAGGATCCAATTAAAAAGTGGGGTACAGAACTAAATACAGAATTCTCAATAGAGGAGTCTAAAATGACTGTTAGACACCTAAGAAAGTGGTCAACATCCCTAGCCATCAGGGAAATGCAAATCAAAACAACTCTGAGATACCACCTCACTCTTGTCAGAATCAAAAACACCAATGACAGTTTGTGCTGGAAAGGATGTGGAGAAAGGGGAACACTCCTCCACTGCTGGTGGGAGTGCCACCTCGTACAGACACTTTGGAAATCAGAATGGAGATTCCTCAGGAAAATGGCAGTCAGTCTACCACAAAATCCAGCAATTCCACCCTTAGGCATATACCCAAAAGATGCACATTCACACAACAAGGATGTCTGTTTCACTATATTCATAGCAGCATTATTTGTAATAGCCAGAACCTTGAAGCAACGTAGATGCCCCTCAACTGAAGAGTGGATAGAGAAAATATGACACATTTACACAAGGGAGTACTATTCAGCAGGGAAAAAAACAGTGGAATCTTGAAATTTGCAGGCAAATGGACGGCACTAGAAGTAACCATCCTGAGTGAGGTAACCCAGTCACAAAAAGACAAATATGGTATGTAACTCACTGATATATAGATTTTAGACATGGATCAAGGGAGTGCCAACCTACAATCCCACTGCCAGAGAGCCTGGGAAACAGAACCTTCATCTAGTGACTGATGGAAGCAGAGGCAGACACCTACAGCTAAACACTGAACTGAACTCCTGGAATCCAGTGACATAGAGGGAGGAGTGATGAGCAAAGGGATCAAGACTGGGCTGGTTTAACCCACAGAAACAGCCGACCTGAACAACTGGGAGATCTTGGACCCCAGACTGATAACTGGGAGGACAGCATGGGACTGATCCAGACTCCCTGAATGTGGGTGTCAGTGAGGAGGCCTAAGCAATCTATGGGGCCTTGTATAGTATTTATCCCTGACATGCAAATAGACTTTGGCTGCCTGTTCCACAATGAGAGCCCCCATGGAAGGCCTCACCCTCCCTGGAGAACAGAATGGGGATTGGGTGGGGGACTGGGGAAATGGTGAAGGGGTGGAGGAGGAGGGGAGGGAAAGGGAGCTGGGGTTGACATGTGAAGCAAGCTTGTTTCTAATTTAAATAAAAAAGAAAGAAAAATATTTTCTGATTAATTAACAATGTATAGTTTCCCATTATTTTCTTTTTCTAAAATCTAAGACAAGTTGCTAGATTCATTTAGCTTTACCCAGATTTCTGTTGGACAAAATCAAAGAATCACAAGCATCAAATCTCTGTTAGATTTGTTTTTTATGTGCATGTGTGTATATGCACTTGTGTTCGTGGAGGACAAAAGAGGCAGTTAGATCCTCTGGAGCTTGAGAGACAAGTGTTTCTGAGCTACCAGACAGAGGTGCTGGCACCTGAATTCCTGTCCTCTTCAGAGCAACAAGCATTCTTAAGAGCTGAGCCTTCAGACCCTCAAAATAGCGTTCACACTCACAAGTTTCCTGTCTTCTGTCCAGTAATTTCCACCATGCTCTTCCTACTCCCTCCCTGTCCTTTCATTCACCTAGCCATTTCATCTCCCTCTCCCCAGCTTCTGGAAGCATAAAACACTACATTACGTTCAAGCTACTCTCCCTGCCACAATCTAAGTGCCCTGATTTCTACCAACAGAAACCGAGTTTTCCTAGTACGCTGATCTTAACAAGCCTTACAAGAAGGAAAACCCTCAGCAAAAGGTAAGTATGCCAATGTACTCCAGGTTTTCTGTCCAGTCTTTCATTATGGTTTTGTAAAGCTTGGAGAGATTCTTGTAGAATTTAAGAACTAGCGAACTTAAGAACTAGCAGGAGGCCAACGAAAGACTCTTTAATAGCTCCCAGATCCTACATAGACCTGTATTCCTAAACTGGCACAATGGAACCCAATCAGTAATAAGGAGACCCAACTTTGGGGTGAGGAGAAATAGAAACTGAAAAAGTGAGGCTCTCGTGGCCCCTGTGTAATCCTTTAATCACAGCTCTCGACATATTTTCCCTATCTCCTAATATTTAATTTGCCTAGCGGCTGTGCCTCACATCTCAGAATTTTGCTGGAACTTGAGAATTACTAGAGACTTGTTGAAAAAATAGTATTGTATTAAATTCCTATCAATATTCTTCTTAGGGTTTTTGTTATCACTCTGCAGTGTCCAACTCTATTGCTATGTGTACGTAAAGTTC